AAAGTAAGAGAGGAAACTCAAAATAATTGGAATAATTCCATTCTATCCTAGTCAACTGTCATCTAAAATCTCGTTACCTACGCGAAAAGTATGCCGTTGCTCCCTCTGATATAACGAATGTATGTAAACATAGCTATGTTTATTGTTTGATCCAGGAACCTGGTAAAGGTGGAATATTAACAGAGGCCACATATGTTATTCGAACACGTGCATACACCTAGTTGGGGGTATAGTAACGTGCAGTATCATTGGACGAAATACTGTGACTATGTGTCCTAGTTCACCCAGCTGCAAATGGGTACCTTGTGAGGATGAGGCTGTGTGATAACTCGCTGTGCCTAACAGGCTGCATGAGTTGAATAATCGCCAGGGAGTTGAGATGGTTAAAAGAATGCCAGGATAAAGACATCCGTTGATTAAGGGAACACTAAAGCGCCTTGAGCATGTACTAGTTGCGTGGATATTTGCGCTATATAAAGAGCCTATCATCATCATCAACATCATCATCATCATCATCATCACCTACCCATCACGCTCAAATGTCAACCAGACAAATCTCATGGTTCTCATGATCTCTGTAGTTAATCATCATTACAACGAATAGACATGTAAGTGTTCGCTATGTGTCAAACACTGTGTATTTAAGTCAGTTGCAATTGTATAAATGGTTAGTAGAGTAGACTAGAAAGAATGAAACAGGTAAGAGTAAAGATATTCGGTTATTTCACTGCTATAGATGCTTAAATTAATACCTTTCATTTACTCCCGGTATCGTTGCCATTTGATTCAAATTCAGAAACATATTATTTTTTTTATATTAAGTGTAGTAATGGAATAACAATGTGTGTATCATTAAAGAGAATTGAAAAAACCGTTCAGAATGTTGACATGGATTAACCATGGGGGAATGGGTATTGCAGTATGACCAATGATGTGAATGGGTAGTGAAGCCTTTCCAATAACATGAAGGGGAAGTGGATTATGACTAAGGTTGGCTGGTTGGTTTGTTGTTGAACGCCTCAATAATATGACTCACGATATGAATGGATAGTGTAGTGTGACCAATGATACAGATGACTAGTGGAGTATTTCAAAAAGTATAAATGGGTAATAGAGAACGACTACCGATATGTATAGGTAGTGAGGAATGACTAATGATATTGATGGGAAGTGGAGTATTTACAAAAGTATAAATGTCTAACAGAGTAAGACTACCAATATGAATTGGTAGTGAAGTATGACTAAATGACTTGAGGTGAGGTGAGGTGAAATTGGGTTTTACGTCGTACTTGAGAATATTTCACTCATATGACGACGTGCATGCGTGTGTATGTGTATATGCGGCTGCTTGTACTAGCCCAGACTTAAGCTGGTTTTATAATGCTAGCTCACTGAGATACCATGCCGCAGTTAAGCATGAATACCCCACTCAGACACATTATATTGACTCCGAGCCGACCAGTCCTTGATGTACACATTAATGCCAAGCGCCAGACTGAGACCAACAAGTACCATATTTTAACGTCTTTTGGTATGACGCGACCGGGATCGAACCTGCGACCTTCCGCTCTCCGGGCGGACGCTCTAACCACTACACCACGGAGGCGGTCCTAAATGACTTGAATGGATAATATAGACAAATCTGCTCTCAAGTAACCTAGACTGATTCCTGAGAAAATCTGCTAAACACCATAAGAACTCGTTTAAACAACAAAATGTGATGACGTATTTCGATTATATATACCGTATTTACTCTAATAAGCGCCGGGTGGAAAGCAGCGATTTAAGAAATAGGCGCCGGGTACGTTTAGATGTATTCTCCCATGATCCCCAAAATAGATTTATAAAGGAATTGTCCCTAAGTTTGACGTAATGCTCATTAACAATTAATAATGGTACACCAAGTAAGCGCAATAATTTGAAGAAAACACCGGGCCTCAAATAAGCGCCGGGTTTGGCGCTCATTAGAAGAGATACGGTATACAGAATGTCTATGCAAGAGAATACCCAGTCTAGACTATCCTCTAAAGAAACTTCTTCTTTTTTTGTAAAGGGAAAAGAAACTCTGGAAATTATGTCAGTGTTTCATTTAAAGGACTTAATTTTGCAAGAAGGATTTCTTATTAATGATATATTTTGCTAATTGCACAATTCTCGCAAATCAATTAGGTTATTGATACTTCATAATCTGAGTGAAATTTAGATGATTTTGTCAGTGGTGCTTCTCCGAGTTATTACAGTCTCTGCATGATATTGTTTATCCCAAAATAACGGCAGTGATGTGTTACATGCGATATTATCCTCCAACACTGACATTCAGAAAGTTAAAATGAGTTTTTCTTGACGGAGCTTTCTTACAAGCACAAGGAGCTGCCATATAGCTAGAATATTGCTGAATGCGGCGTAACACTAAACTCACTCACTCACAAGGAGCTTGCTAAAACGCTTTTATATTGCGATACCTAATATAACCTCGTGGCATGACTGTGTACGTTCTGCATTCCAGTTATTATATATTTGTTTATACTCTGTAGTATATGATGTTGATCCTAAGCATAATGTATCACTCTGGGATATGTCCTGTATCTGGCACAATTGAATATCGAAGCATGCAACCGATCTGGAAAAATGTTTCAAAATATCTACTTTGCTAATATTCATTTTTCACAAAACTTTGTTATAGGACATTATTACATGTTGTGGCAACAATGTATCATCTGTTGTACAGAGTGATCTGGAAAAGTCTACAAGGAACTTATTCCTAAATCATCTGCTTGAGATGCTATTTGAAGCCACAGGAAGCCCAGGATTGCATGTGACGATCATACCCTGGAAACTCTATGCCTAGTTCTTTCTTCTTAGTTGGACTACTGTTGCTGAGATGTGAACATTACCATTTTTGTATTTATAGCTACAATCAATGTTCTTGTATTGTATTTGTATTTGAATTTGTACTGCTCTATTGATACCTTTGTAGTGATTTGTAGGAATTTGTATGCTTACTTAATTTTTGAATACAGTCATTAATTGCAGTACATTTCTTTATTGTCTGTTGGTTTCACACGTACTTTTCTTACTGACTGATTCGTCGTGAGCTATTTCGTTTCAACTTTTGAATCAAATCGTAACAACGGAGATATGGACAAAACACTCATACGGCATACATTTTAGGATCATATAAAAATCACAAACGTTCATGAAAGGCGACGCAAGAATATTTATTAGAAATTAACAGACTATGATCACCTTGCACAAATACCAAAACAAAACATATGTGGCGGAATGAACACTGGAACAGAATTTGAAATATATTGGCGTACACTTTATATTTGATATCTCGGCTGATTATATTTTACCTGAAAGAAGTTTCCATTTCATGCACACATGAAATTAAACACCTAATGGTGAATAGTATATTTGTGGCAGGTGTTAGAGTGAACAAGAGCATAAATGTGTTCATGGTGATTTGTTTAAAACTAAAAAGATTAAGAATTAAAAACATATAATATATTTACATTGCTCTCGATGTGTTAATTAAGGGGAACGTAAGACAAGAAATGAAGCTAGCTATATGGGACTCTTGAGGATAAAACAAACAAACCTAATCGATATGAATATGGTAATACAACACATAACGATAAGTTCTTACTTTTTAACGAGTACATTTAATGATAATGCAGTTTTAGCTTTCATCAAGATTTACATCTCAATAAAGAAGCACTGCCGCCATATTAGTCGAAAGTAATAATACGTGTCTGTTTGCCAACGTGCAGTTTAGAAAGTTGGTGTTTAAATGTTTTGTGTTGACATGTTGAAAACTGATATGGGACCTTACTACACTGCAGACAAGAGAAAAACAAAAACAAACGCCCTCTACACATGAAGAATGACAATAGCAATCATACAATTAATCTAATACTGGAGCTTCAGGGTGATATATAGGCAACTGGCATAAAAATAATTAGTAAACTGTTATTTCAGCACAAATAATTCATTATTATATGTTATCGTCGTCTTATATTACATAAACTAATGACATTCCAACATGCAAAGTTTCACGATAATAACCACCCATTGACCACTTCCAGCTACGACTGAGCGGTGGGGTAGCCTAATGGTTAAAGCATTGGCTCGTCACCCTCAAGACCCGGGTTCGATTCCCCATATGGGTACAATGTGTGAAGCCCATTTGTGGTGTCCCCTGCCGTGATATTGCTGGAACATTGTTAAAAGCGGCGTAAAACTAAACTCACTCACTCGAGCCACGACTAAGCACACAAACAATCAGCAAGGTGTCAGCACATGTACAGTGTGCAGCTTCTAATCGGAAATAACCAAATGCTAAGTTTAACAAGAGGTGTCCGTCAATTCACTAATTCCTTCAATGAATAAGAAAACTAACAAAGGCAAGGTGGCAACACATATGCAGTTACGGTTTTCAGCTTCTATTCGGAATTACATACGTGTCACGTGAGTGGGTGAGTGAGTTAAATTTAAAGTCACACGTACATGCCAAGATTCACGACCATCCACTCATCACTAAGTCTTCCTTTCGTAAATAAGCACAAGCATAGACACTAAGGTGACATAATCCCACGCCTCATATTATAAAATCAAAATCCAGTGAACTGTTCTTGAGATATGTCGCGTGACCTTGAAAGTTATGCGAAGGTCACCAAAATCGACTAGGCCTTGCACCTTCCCAGATGAAGCTTGGTGTCAAATATGAAGAAAGTCCAGTGAATGATTCTTGAGGTATCTCGCTGACAAGCTTAACATGCAGCTTTACATTCTGAAATCTTCAAAGTGTCGCCATTTCCTTGAAAATGAAGGTCAAGGTCACCAAACCTGACTGGAACCTTTCTTTTACTGTGATGAACCTAGGTACCAAATATGAAAAGAATCCAGACAACGGTGTTTAGATATTCCAATTCGTACGTACGTACGGACGGAGCCTAATACTATATCCCCCGCTTCGCGCTAAACGCGCGGCGGGGGATAATAAAAATGCTAAGCAAGGTGACAGATACACATATACAGATACGAAACAGCTGTTCCTGATACAGTCTAGTGCGTGTTATTATCGCCCGATCATAAACAGGAAGTTGTCCTTCGCAGATATCGACTCTTGCTTGTCTTCCAGACCATGTTGTCGTCTTAATCTCAGCCACTCAAGCGCGGGCATCACGGAAGCTTTAATTCGCTGAAACATCAGATATACACACAAGCAAAGGTAACACCTCAAACATCAGGACATTGCACAAACAAGAGGAACCACATACAAGTATGACGCTTTATCGATAACATATTCTTGGAATGTAACGTTATATTGTCTCTAGATTTTTTTACAATGAAGTCATGAAATCCTAAAGAAAAACCGGTTCAAACCTCTGGCGACCGAAATATTGTACGTGTGTGTATGCACTGTTTACCGTAATATTTCTAAGCATGCAATTACTTTTCTTAAGAAACTATAGAGATCAAGTGATAACGTTGCATCACATAAAGATATATTACAGGACAATTAACATACAGGTAATTTGTGTATTAAACATGTCCAACATGGGCAAATGAGACATGCCTTCTGTCAATAGCGTTGTACTCTTCACACTATCATGTCTGAATGGTTTAACGGCATTCAGAAGTTGGAATAACATGAAGACATACTATGTTTATGTATAAGAACGAAAATAATAGGTTACATGGACGTTTCAGTTCTACGTCTTCCCATGCATCAAGTGTCTGATTCTGTGACAGGACAAAAGTAATCCGGAAACAACAACGAAGGTGTTTTCTCACTAAACTTCATGTCTTCATAATGCAACTTTGTATTGTGAAATCCTGGCTACTTCAACTGCTTTTCATAACTTCCGCAATGTTTGTTGTTTACCGCTGTACGGCAAATGTCCAGCTACCTGGAAATGTTTAAAAGTTGCGACATCCCACCACATTTATTTCATTCACAACTTACGAAAAGCAATTGTTTCGGACCTGTGTAATAACCCCAGACCAAGCACAACAGAAAGTACTTATAACTTGTAAGGATTCAGTTGCATTCCATACGATATATTAAAAGTATGAACAGTTTCTATAAGGAAATATACCCGTGCTAAGGATCCTTCCATCTTGTGTATCTGTGTGACCATAAATACTGGAACAGGAACTACGGACACAAGAGCAATGAACCATCCAAAGACGATGGCCGACGTTGGGTAATCGTACTCTCCGTATCTTGGAGGCTTGTATGAAGCCAACGTCAAAACCAAAACTATCTGCAATGACATACTAGTATTTTAGTTCCGAACTACATTCTCAAGTTGTATATATTCAGAAGTACATACATATACGTCTGAAAAAACACATGAAGATGAACATCACACTCGGTCACTTGTTGATGCATATACTATGTTTGAAGGTTATATTAAGAAGCTATAATCATTCATTTGGAAGACAACAAATTCAAAGGAAAACAAAACAAGTTGTACTCCTTTGATGCAAATATGAAGGGATGGTTGTACAGTATACGTAACAGTTACTTTAGTACTGACCAAAGTGAGAGATGTATTTGAAGTGATTTTTGGTTGTTTGTTGTTTAACGCCGAAATATCCCAATAGTCTCAGCTCTTTAACGAATCCAGGCTTGTCCAGACAATCTAGTTGTCAACTGCGTGGGCACAGATCTACGCCATTTGGATACGATGACATGTGCCAAGTAAGTCAGCGAGGATGACCACCCGATCCTGTTAGTCGCCTCTTAGGACAAGCATGGGTTGCTGAAGACCAATTGTAACCCGGATCTTGAGGAGTTATATATGGATTCTTATGGCATAAATCGATAAGAAACAAATGAGACCTACAGTCAGGAGAGCAGGGACGATGATGAAACAAACAACTTTGTAGATCACAGGTAGGCGTTTTCCAATCATCATTTGCACATCAGCAGAGAAACGCTCGGCACCTGTCAAATACAGTTTGATAATTCGTGTCAGACAAATATGAACAGAAATTTTGTCGGCGTACCAGTTAATCCCTTTGTTATTAGCCCCCGCAAGTAAGGTAGCCAGTGAAGATATATAAACTCTCCTTCCAGTGGCTAAAAAGTTACAACTTATTTGGATTCAATTCATGCAGGATTCCCAACACAGAAGCATGATTTGAACGATATGAGTTTTCAATTTCTGCAGAATACATACATGTGTTGCATTTGTTTCCTGCTAAACGGTGCACTTGCTAACATTACAGCAGTATGGCGGTGTACTGTCATGACACGACTTTCAACCCGATGATATGAATGTTTTTGAGTGTAATCATATTATCATTTATATATAATTAGTTTAAGTTTGAAGATAGTGAACGGGTGTATGTATGTAGTTGAAATACTTCAAAGGTTATTTGCTGCATTGAACAGGTTAATCGTTCTCCTGAGAGGGTACGTAAGTCCCAAACACTTTCAAAGTAAAATGTTCACGTACCAAGTTTTTAAACGTTTTTTTGTTCTTTTAAATTTCGGCTAAATTATCCTACAATCGCCAGCGGCTGAAGGGATGGTGTAAATCCAGCTAGGCTCCATGCAGGTAGCAAAAGTACTGTAAGTCCCCATGGTTCCTAGTATGGTGATCTACCTTCAGATGTTGGCGATCTATAGCCCGTGTTTTATGTTGTATTGTCTTCTTTAATTACACTGTTTTAGTTTTACATGCTAGTTTTATGTTCATATCTGTGATACTCTAGTATTTTTACTTTCCATCGTCGACAGGTTTAATTCTTCACAATGTTTTCATTTTTGTGTTATATAACTTGTTTTCGTCACGATATGGCTGAGATATTGCCGATGTGACGTTAAATATTAACTCACTCACTCAGTTGTGTTAATCATAAAATGGCTGCGTGAATGGGTTTGCGGTTGCGAGAGGTTGCTAGACAAGTTTGAACGTGTACATAATGTTTTGAAAACCTAAATGTTTTGTTGTGGAGGATGTAATGCACTTTATTCAATCTTGTCAAAAGAATGACGAGTTCAGGAATAGGCTATATTTGCCTTGCAATTTCTGTAATGTTGACAAGATTGTGAAAGTAATAACTTCCTATAGCTTTTCCGAATCCTTAGCTTTGTACATCTTATAAAGTACGGATGACAGGCAAGTATACAATTACAGTTAAAGGGAGACAACCATTTGGTAGTTATAATAAAACTTATAGTAAGGTAAATGGGTTTTGATGCTTCTATTAATATATATGTATAAGAATGCATTTTGTAACTTTTCCTACCGTAACACCAGCCAACAGCTACACACTCGAGTACAGCAATGGCGAAGCAGGCCACAGCACCCACATACCAATCAACCAGCTGTACCACGTATACTCCGCCCTGGAATAGGTACATATACATGTTGAACACTGACGTGCACATCGGGTCTCTATTCATACGTTAGGTTATTTAAATATTTCAAAGTAAGACAATGATATTACTAATCTTTTCCAGCGATTTTGTTTATGCAGCCATTTTCGATATCAACACTGACGTGCGATTACACTTAAATGTCACTAAAATACAGTTAATTACGAACATAATACATATATAATAGTAGTCATGGCCACAATACTGTTATAAAATTTATTCAAAGTGAGCTCGCCGTTACACAATGTGTGTCCCTACAAATTATATTAGGACAATAAGGAAGGCCCACAATAACAGTTGAAGAAGACGATTAACTGCTCCATGATATACCAATCCATATATATTACATGTCGGAAAGGAATATAACGTACATATGATTTTTATACGGAACATTAACCATTATATTTTTGCGTGGTAATATGCTACATTATTGTCTGGATGCAAATGTGTAAGTGAGTTAGTTAAGATTTTAAGTCACATCGGAAATATTTCAGCCATATCGTAACTAAAACTAGATCGAAATTCATGATAACTACATATCATTTATAAAATCCTGCCAACGAAGGACAGTGAAATTACTAGATTACCACCAATTTGTTAAAACTAGATCAAAGAAAATTATTATCATATACCAACAATTAACAATTCGAGATAAAAAGTGGCAAGAGATGGCTAGCAACGGAAGTAAGGTCACCATACTAGGGACCGTGGGGACTCACAATACTTCTGCTTTCTGCAAGGTGTAAATGCAAATGTGTTCTTATGTCTCTACGAATGTTTTGTATCATAATATATAATATCTTAATGCATATTCCCATCAACAGACATGATTGTGTACCTATTAATCAACATGCATTTTGGGATGGAAGCCTTATATAAAAGGTCAACAACATGACAAGCTCAGTGTGAATTGGTCAGTGAGTGTGTATCGTTTTACGCCACTGTTAGCAATTTCCAGCAATATCACGGCGGGGGGACACCAGAAATGGGCTTCACACATTGTACCCATGTGGGGAATCGAACCCGGGTCTTCGGCGTGACTAATGTGATTTGGTATCAACAAGACGTCGTTATAAAATGGGTAACAGCAGTTTCTGTCGGTCGAGGTAAGTATAATGTGTATGCCAATGCAAGCGACATAAATTTTATGATTAGTGTCAGTACAAGCATAATACGTACATGAGTTGTGAACACAAGACCGACAAGGCTCACGGCTCCCATGAACACAGCAGCCATGATAGTCTGCAGATGCTTGACGTGGAACCGCCTCGGAAGCAGATCTTCCATACAACCAACAGCTGTCTCAACATGGGCCAACTATGCACGACAAAACACTTCAAGGAAAATTGGATAGATACTTTGTGTGAGTGAGTGAGTTAAATTTTACAGACACATCGGCAGTATTTAAGCCATACCGTAACTAAAAGAAATCCTAAATTCATAATAAATACATTTAATTTATCAAAAACGAGTCAATGAAGGACAGTGAATAGCATATAGCATATCAGAGACAGAATTTAAAACGTGCTGGAGATCGCCATCAACTGAAGGTAGATCACCATATTAGGTACCATGGGGACTTACAGTACTTTTGCTAACTGCTGGATCCTTGCTGGATTTACATCATTCCTTCAGATTTTGGCGATTTTGTGGAAAATTGCCAAGAACATATATTTTAAGATTAAAAACACAGATGACGAAAATACTTCGACTGGAAATGGGATAGATAGATTGAAGGAATGAAAGACAACCGACTTTGTCACCTTACATAAATGTATAAGACACGTGATGTATGCCTTGTGTTTTGTGATCCGTATGTTATGTGTTGAATTAAATATTTGCGAGTTAACTGCATAATCACATATGGTATTTCACTACATAACATACTTCATTATTAGGTATGCTCATTATCTGATGGTGATTCCTAACCATATACAGCTATTTGTTATGATTAAGAAAAGGCATATTTTACTATATTTACCGTTGAGTCAACCACTATCATCAGCAGTGTTGTAAAGAATAGTACGGACCATAGTTGAGGAAACGGCAGTAATGACACTGCCCCTGGGTACACAATAAATCCAATGCCAGGACCTATATGATTAAAATATTCTCATGACATTTCAGAATCTACATGATTAAAATATTTTCATGGCATTGCAAGTCAAAACTCACACCAATTCGACATCGTACAAAATGCTGTAACAAACATCTTCAAGGTAGACGTACAGTCCCACATGATTAAAATATTCTCATGACATTGCAGGATCTACATGATTGAAATATTTTCATGACATTGCAGGATCTACATGATTGAAATATTTTCATGACATTGCAGGATCTACATGATTGAAATATTTTCATGACATTGCAGGATCTACATGATTGAAATATTTTCATGACATTGCAGGATCTACGTGATTGAAATATTTTCATGACATTGCAGGATCTACATGATTGAAATATTTTCATGACATTGCAGGATCTACATGATTGAAATATTTTCATGACATTGCAGGATCTCACATGATTAAAATATTAAAATGACATTGCAGGATCTACATGATTGAAATATTTTCATGACATTGCAGGATCTACATGATTGAAATATTTTCATGACATTGCAGGATCTACATGATTGAAATATTTTCATGACATTGCAGGATCTACATGATTGAAATATTTTCATGACATTGCAGGATCTACATGATTGAAATATTTTCATGACATTGCAGGATCTACATGATTGAAATATTTTCATGACATTGCAGGATCTACATGATTGAAATATTTTCATGACATTGCAGGATCTACATGATCGATATGAACATTGCATTTTCGTATGACATTAGATGGTCCCATCATAAATTAATGCGATTATCCTTAGAAAATAATTCCATTGGGTATAAAATGCGAAAAAAATGTGAAACTTTTTCAGAGGACATCGAATATCAGTGATACCCTGGATATTTCATGTCTTATTTCGCCACTCACAGATTTTGAATAAATTGCTTCCTGTCATGCAACGGCGGCAATGTATTTTTGTATTTACTGTATTAAGGGGTGACTTTACTTCAACTACTGCATTCAGACGATTCACTACTGCATGAAGTGAGTGAGTGATTTAAGATTTTAAGTCATATCGGCAATATTTCAGGCGATTTATTCCCGGAGCGGCTCTTCCCACAGTGGCCCCTGAGTTTTCACGCCTTGTTAACGACCCTTCCCAGAGTGGCCTCCAAACACTTAAGTGTTCCCACACTGGCCCCTCTTAATCCAATCAGCTTAATTACCAATTGTGTTGCACTAATTAGGGAGGTGTGATGCTTTGAAAGATCTCTGATGAAAAAGAAACAACAACCCAAAAAGTGTTTCACGGTACATTTACATTATTCATGGCTTTACATTTACATATCAATACATCCTCACTTTGAGGGGGAGCAACAAGTCAACACACAAGTCATATCACAAGTCACATATCATACGTTCACACCTTCTTAACAGCATCAGCCGCCACCTTCTACTCATAGTAGCAGATTACTGCTACTGTCTTCTACTCACAGTAGCAGATTATTACTACTGTCTTCTACTCACAGTGGCAGATTAAATCTTTGTTTTGACAACTAACAAGTTGTCCCACACTGGCCCCCACGTTTACACCTTCTTAACGGATTGCCCCGGACTTTGGTTGTTACGTAATAGACAGAGGGGCCACTCTGGGAATACACCATTTCAGGCATATCGTGACTAAAAACAAGTTATAACCTCATAATAAATTATGGTAAATTATAAAAATCTGTCTGCGAAGGACAGTAAAAATAACAAGAATATCACAGAGATAATTGCAAAATATATAGTATGAAACCTTAAAATATCTTAACTATGAAAGACAATGCAATATAAAAAAGGGGCTATAGATCGCCAACAACTGAAGGTTGATCACCATACTAGGGAGCATGGGGACTTACCTTTGCCTACTGAATTAAAATAATTGAATTCTGTTGATAATGAATTTAGATAATAGTATTCATTACTGTATGTACTACATTGAGATTATGTAATTTACTGAGACATATTATTGTATGTATTCATTACTGTAATTATACTGATATTGAGACAACTCATTGACTGTAATTACCATATACTTTCATTACTGTAGACATCATAATTACTGTATATTTCATGACTGTAAGTACTGCATTGAGACATGTCATGTCATTGCTGTATATTTCATTATCATTGAGACATGTCATTGCTGTAATTACCACACTGATATATTTCATTACTGTAAGTACTGCATTGAGACAATTCAACACTGCTAAATTACTGAATGAAAACTATTCATTACTTCAACAGTAACCGACTTACCCGAGGTTACAACGTCAGCCACAGGTTGTTGTAAACTATGAGCCAGGAACCCGAATGTTGCAAAGACAACGAAACCAGCAAACACACTTGTCAACTCGCCTATAACGCCCACGATGATGGAGTCTCTGTAAGAGAATGTCGCCCACATTCAGTACTCACATGAGCAAACAAAGGAATAGTTCTATGGATGTTCAAATTCAAGCAAGTGATAACAGTGTTAGCATCTTGACCGAAACAACATCGCATCTACTGGAATAAATATGTTGTATATCCATATAACTATTCCCTTTAGCTTGGGTTGCAAGTTGAATGGAAGACAATAAACAAAACTGCAAAACATACCTTATGAGATTCGAGTGAAAGGAATTGTGGCTTGCCATGACAATAATGGTGCCCCACGCAGGACCAACAGAAAAGAACACTTGCATCAGGGCTTCCAACCACACCTGCAGAGATACACAATTTGTATATGTTCAAAAGAACTAATATATTAGTCAACTACCGCACACGTCTACATAAAATCAAACTAAGTTGCTTAGAACAAATGACGTCACTTCCGAAATGGGTGTGAGACTGTGGTTATCTACCTGTGCTTTGGTTGAATAAACCTTCAATACTATAAATTCAAAAAATATAAATGCCATGACCGCAACGTTCACTAGGTTTTACTAGATATCCAGATATCAAAACGAGCACTTTTAGAATAATTGCTTGCCATTGTCTGATAAATTTCATTTATAGGACAGTAACCAGTGAGGCCTCATAGCAGCCGCTGAACGAAAACAAAATGTCAATATTGTAACTACCAAAAGAATTTACATGTATATGAATCATGTCAGGCAGTTACCATAGTCGAGGAGTACATCTGTGAATATCCACTAACAGGAACAATATCCTATGCATCTAAAGCTGTACAAAGAAACTTGTTTGATAACACGTGTCTTTGCAACAATTGTGATAGGTAACAAATCTCAGTTTTGCGGGTTATTGTAACCCATTCGTCTCTCAACTGACCGCGTAATTTCAGCTGTTTCACATCGGTGAGTGAGTTTAATTTTACGCCGCTTTTAGCAATATTCAAGCAATATTACGGCGGGGAAAGAGCTTCACACATTTGTACCCATGTGTGGAACCCGGGTCGTCAGCGTGACAAGCGAACGCTTTAACCACTAGGCTACCCCACCGCCCCTACATATCGGTGTCATGTCTCACCTGTCAGCTACATGTAAGATATGTTTGATATCCACAGCTCTTTAAAAAAGTAAATTTCATTGGATAACAATGAACGATCAATCAGCGTTTTACCGGCTAATCATATTACGTATAGTATGTTGTTTTTGTCAGTTACGTATATTCCGTCTGCTATAGTAAACCTTCATACAAAACATTTGTAACAAATGCTCTGTGCAGGATAACAGTGATTAATCAATCCGGTGATAACGTGGGCTAATTAAAATAGCGCCAGCCGGGACGACTGTAAGTTTTGGTTTCTTTTCCTTTTACGTGATACCATTCAAAAGGCAGGATTCTTCACTGACTAGCAACTGTCAAAAAGATATGACGCCTATGGACCTGAGGATGCTGCAGACGCGTGAAGTCTGGAGTCAGGTAAAACAGAACACCATCCACAGCACCCGGCATCATGCACGACCTCACCAGCAACACTAGCAATAGGACATACGGCATCAATGCTGTCACATACACCACCTGCACATAGATGCAAGATAATATATAAGACCAGGAGAACAAGCAGAGTTAACAAAATTGTTTAGAAACATAGATGTACCTTAAGGTTTCAGTTGGTGTTTTTCTGATTCATAATTAGGTGTGTATAATATACATAAGTTGTGATTAGCAATATTAGGTTTGACTGCAAATGAGGTAACCGTAAATCCCTGCTTTGGCAGTCCAAATTACTTCCTTTTACAGCCATCAGAGGTTGCACAATATAAGTCATATACATGCGCTCTGTTTCTCTGCCAGTAGCTGTAAAATGTTTTTCTTGGCTGACAATTGTTGTTCCTGTATTGTCTGAAGACATTAAAAGTTCAATACTCACTCAAATCAACATTGCGCGTTAAAATTACCCCTCTGATGGAAACGGAACATATTTTACATACTTACTGTATTTAATATTAACTAATAATTGTCACCTTTCCAAGGGATTTGATCCCGTTCATGACGCATAGGAAAACAGCAACACATGCGATGAACCAGCAGATGACGAGATGAGGCTGTATAGATCCGAGGTCATCTATCCCTGACGAAACACCGAGAGCCTTGTTCCTGGGGACGATGTGAGTGAGTGAGGTTACTTTAAGTCACGTCGGCAGTATTTACAGCCATATTGTCATTTGATCAAGTTATATAGTTGTACAGATATACATGTATGTTAACTTTTAAAAACTGTCATCGATAGAGAGAACTATAACCAACAATATATCACATATTTTTCTTGAAACGACTCATAGAATATAAAAACTGAGTATTTGGCACCGATACATAACACTGGGGTTAGAGGACCCCAGCAACATAGGTAAGGACACCATACTAGGAACCATGAGGACTGGCGGTTGTCGTAGGTTTAGCCAGAGATTAAGCATAAACAATCATTCAGCACTAAAAAAAATTCAGGTAGATATAACAACACCTTGAAGACGTCATCTTATAAACCCCTTATAATTTGGTGACGTTATGACACATGACAGTATGTATGACGCGAGTGGCAACATCACGTAGGGAATGGCCAATATATACGCGTGTGTGTGCGTATGCGCGTTACGATACATGTAGATCTTACATCAATCAAAACAAAATAGTGCCTTACTTTAATGGCTTGTGCACATGGTCAAACAAAGGGTAAAATAGATTTGCTGATGACTGTCCTATGTTATTAATGCACTGCATATAACATGACTCACTGCCAGAACTCCTCTGTTGATGTATGTCCAAACACACTTGAAGTTTGTGCACTTCTGTTAAAAGTTGCATATCCAATGCTTGCTGTTATAGTTGTGTCATTGGCATTAGTCGGTTTCATGTATACTGAACTATTAACGCCAGTGTCGCCTACCACGACACACTGTGGCGTGTTCCAGGGGTTGCCACAGGTAGTCCAGGGCAAGACGTTCGAGAAGGAGCTGTAGATGTAGTAGACGCCCCAGGAAAACACCACACTGTTGTAGAGGACAATGATACAGCTAACTGTCAGTATGCAAAATCCAAGACCTAAACATAAACATAAATCACTCATAGACAGACACATTCTATTTCATATTTACATGTGACGTGAAAGCGAGTGCAACCATCAACACATGTTAAAACATACATGGGCCTTGTGGTTAAAACTATACATGTCAATACACAAACAACCGTGTGTTTTATGTCTATATATTTGTTAATCGTTGCATGTTGTTCATTGTTTGGTTATTGTATGTCGTTAAACGTTGATCTTGCATATTGAATTCACCAAGAAAACGACCATGATCAAACAATTGGTATCTTTTAGCGTTAGTGAGTTAAAAGTTCACATATTACAGCCATATAGCGATGAAAACAAGGTATTCATTTTAAAATCTATGTTGATCTTTCAGCATATTTGAAATGTTTGGCATTAGAGATACATTGTGTCCTCGCGAATCACAAACGCTAATATAAAGTAAATTCTTTGCTGACACATATACTTGCTATTACCTTTCATGAGTGGACATATTGACCAAATCTTAATAGGTCCTTTAGCAGAAAACTGACCAAGAGCAACCTCCAGGATGAAGAGCGGGATTGCCAACACAGCTGTTGAGATGACGTAGGGAATCAGGAACGCCCCTTTGAAAGAAACAATGATGCAACACTTTTCAATCGTAACTTACTATATTGTGATGTATCCTGTACTTAACACAAGCTGTGCAATAGAAGCATGTTTTTACTCATACCTGTAAAGCATTCCAGGTTTACAAAAAATATTTGACAATTCTGTATCGCCTTTTCATCGACAGTCGGCTGTATGCTTACATGATTTACATGTTCATTTATCTCAAATTGAACACTCGATTTCTTATGAATAATGTTCAATGGTTTCGTACCGCATTGTTACATTATGTTGTAATTAGATTACATTGTTTCTGTTAAGACTGAGTAAAGGTTCATAATGACCCCTGAAGATTCGGGTAAGAACTGATATTCAGCAACCCATGCTTGTCATAAGAGACGACTAACAGGATAGGGTGGTCGCTGACTTGGTTGACACATATCATCGTATCCCGAGTAACGTGTATTGGTGCTCATGCTGTTAATCACTGGATTGCCTTGTCCAGACCCGGTTATTTACAGCCTGCCCACATACACCTGGGATATTGCTGAGTGCGATGTTAAACAGCAAACAAACAAACAAAAACATGATACCACCTTGTGAGAGACGTTTTCAAGAGGATATTATACGAGTGTCCAGTTCAATCCACGTTTACGACTCAAGTGCTGAAATGTTAGTATTACGAATATGATATTTTGTTTATAACCGAAACTTGTTTCCCTCCCCCCTGTTCCGGTTCGCACATTATACACATGAAATGTCCCAAGCGGTTGGGTTACACTTTCTACTCTTCCAACTAATTTCCATCGATCTTGACAAGATCATTGAATGTGATTGACAGCAGAAAAAACGATCGGGCAGCCACATTGTTTGTTTAACTTGTCGTCTAAATCAATCGATGAAACAAGTATGTAAGTGATTTATTGTTTTACGTATTTTATTGAAAACTATACCCAATTGAACAACCTTGTTTTAATAACAACAATATTGCAAGCGAAATTCCAGGTGACGTTATTTCCGAAATGCCAATCTGTGAATGAACGTAGTGAAGCATAGTAAACTTTTATGAATGAAAAAAGTAGTTCCTTATCGAGGCTTGACATGGAACACTTCCTCTTAAAGTGATATTTTGGCCTAGGGCATCGTATGAAAAATATGAACCCCGATATGTTTGCCCTCAAAGGTAATAATGTGTTTAAACTATAATGTGTTATCAGGAATTTATTACTACCTAATGTAAGCTGTGGTTTGAACGTTTCCTTATTTGGTGTCTTTGGGGTAAAGGATACAATTCATTCAACCGCCATAGACTAATTCAGCATAGTGTATTAGTTTCAGGATGTTATATAGACTATATAGATGGACATGCGCATGTCTCTTACATCTCTTATTACACCAACACCAGTGATTGTGTACAGATTATTTTTCACCCCAGATATCAAGCCTTGGCCAATGTCGGAAGTCCAACCACTGTAACAGCTGCTACACAGTGAATATTATTCTCTTGGAGTTTATTTCTATTACCATTGCTGCTTTCACCCGGATATTTAACCTAGGCCAATGTTGGACCACTGTTGCCACAAGGTAAATATTTGTGTCAGTGTGTATTGCTGTTACCATTACTGTTGTATTTGATTACATTTAACATTACATTTTGCATCGCCACTCCGTTGTTTAATGTTACTGGAAGTACAAAAAATATGTTCATAACGAATACGCTTGTAACGAACTGATGGGTATTAGGAAATGTATTAATTTTATTTGTACCGGGCGCTTCCTGGATACCTTAGTTGAAATGTTCATAGCGGTCTACAATAAATGGCCCCGTTGGGTTCGTAATAACTGTAGTTTTAGTATATACTACTCATGAAAACTTTGGACTCACTAGTGTAAATATAGCCATTTACTTCAGTCAGCTGTCCTAAACTAGATTTTGGAAACCACATATATATATACATATTAACATGTAGTGAGTGTTTTAAGTGAGTCTAAACTTTTGATGGGTAGTATATATACAATTGATGCGAAACATTTCCTTGTCTAATAAACATTTATCAAAATTCACTGGACCTACCTCCCCGGTTTTTTTGACAGACATAAGGAAATCTCAAGAGGTTACCAAGACCCACGGAGTAGCCAAGCACTGCAATGATACCCTGGAACTTGTTGGACCATTGTGGCTTCCTTTGTTCCACATTCTCCTGATTTGTACTTTCTGCCTGCAACCATATAAAATACTTCATTCATATGTTGATCCATTTGAGATCAGACAGCCGTGTGTTGTGGGGTGATTGACAAATGACATACTGTATAATACCGTGACTTGGTAAACGACTATTTCTAGTCCTCCGTTTCGAAGAAACATAATTCATTTTATTAGCTGTTACAAATACTTCAAAAGTAACGCCACCTGGGTTGCTATACTGAAGAGAAGTCTGAAGTGAACCTGTAATCTCAAAAAGAATGACACTTTTTTCTAACATTGATGCTATCCGCGAGGGATTTAATGGACAGCTGAACAACGCATACAGTGAGTTCAATTAATGATTATTATCCACAAACCTTTTTATCTCCGACAAGTTCCGACAAACAGACTTCTCTTTCTTGTTCTGTCATAGTTTTCTTGGATGTATCTTACGGAAAAAACATACCAAGAATTATTTAAATGACACGTCGAGCACAGGATGTGTGTGTGCGTGCGTGCATTCATGCGTGTATGTGTGCGTAATAGCATAGTGGTTAAAGCGATCGCTCGTCACGCCTTGTTCGATTCTCGATTCCCAATATGGGGAAAATGTGTAAAACCCATTTCTGGTTTCCCCCGCAGTGATGTTGCTGAAATATTGCTAAAGGCAACGTAAAAGCATACTCACTCAGACTCGTAACCGCAGGAACCAGGATTATGCATTTGAGGAAAATAGCGACAGGGAAGTTTCTTATTTGATACATTAATAGTGTTGGTAATCTGGGGTACATTGAAAGGCCAGCTAGCATTTATTTTTCCTGAATACTACAAATGAACTGGTCATTCCGTTTGCCAAATCCTCCAAATACCGTAAAACAACAGTTCCTGATTAATGTAAACCTCAGTTGATTACTAGTTTGGTAAAGTTTACTAGCAAGGTTATGGTGCAGACACACATTAAAACATAATCAGGGTGAATGTGGTTATCGATCTCTGGATTACAGAATGGGTTCAGGATGGTCTATTTTGCTGACGCCCCTATAGGACGCCATTGGGGCGGCTCAGAGTGAGTGAGTGAGTGAGTTAAAACGTATCGTCACATCGGCAATATTGCAGCCATATCACATCAATAAATTTATAACGTAAAAACCTGTCATCAAGGACAGTGAAACTACCAGAATATCACAACTCTTAATTTAAAACTAGTACGCTATCATAAAAATATATCACGAGAGACAATAGTACAATATAAGGACGGGCTATAGATCACCAGCAACTGAAGGCTGATCACCATACTATGGACCATGGGCACTTACAGTACCTTTGCTACCTACATGGACCCTAGTTGGATTTACATCATCCCTTAAGCAGCCGGCGATTGTAGTCACATTTAGCCATAATTAAAATCACAAAATCTACGCTTCAAATCCTGGTAAGTTTGAAATTTACTTTGAGAGTTTTGGGACTTACGTACACTCTCAGGAGGACGGGGCGGCTCCGAAAACTAGACCATCCATGACCCATTTTTGAGGAAGTCATGCGCGAAAACGTATGTATTGCCTGACTCGGCACGGCAGTACTTCAGTCATACTGTGACTGCGGCCTTTTAGTCTGAGATTGGAAAATTCGCAGTAACATATGGTCTTTGATACAATCCTCCACCAACCATTTAATCATTGTCGGAAACTGTATGAGTGAGTGAGTATGGTCTTACGCCGTTTTTAGCAATGTTCCAGCAATATCATGGCGGAATACACCAGAAAAGGGCTTAACACATTGTATTCATGTGGGGAATCTAACTCGGGCCTTCGGCGTGACGAGCGAACGCTTTAGCAAAGGCTACCCACCGCTCGATCTAGCATTAATCAGTAATATATTTAGATTATAAAACATGTCAATAATGGACTAACATAATGACCTTTTCACCACCTGGACTGACAACCCATGTAGGTAAAAGTCGATAACCGGTTTGATTACATTTAACCTATTTATACAGTCATACTTTTGTGTCCCACTTGTTTAGCATCAGATCCCAAATATAACAGCCAATGTGAGGGATTTGAAGTAGTATCACAAATTTGTTATGTGTTGCTTTGACTGCAGTATCAGCCACTGTGTTACCAGTATTTGATAACTGGCTTGGTAACCAACATAAGTCAATGTCGTATTGGCCATGCCAGTAGCAAGTTCATGGGGGAGAAATGATAAATTGCTTTGCTTGTTTTTATACATATATACATATACATAAATATATGCTGATATGAAAATGAATCGAATTATGGCTAATGTAACAATGATAAAGAGTAAACGCCGAAGCCGTACCTTAAAACACATATTGACACGTGCCACATTCGACTCATGTATTAAACCTACAGAATTCAGTGTCTCAAAATGTAAACGGGTAAATTGAGGAACTTGTGAATATATACTTGAAACTTCATGTATAAAGTTCAAAAACAGGAAACAATTATTTCATGTACGCTCTAACATGGACTGCTCCGCAAAACATATTATTTATGTTATTATTTGCCAAGGGTGTCATGAAGAATACTCTGGACAAACGGAGTGCTTGAGGGACAGAATGCGCGTCCATAAACAACAGATTATGGACCCCAAAACAACGTGCATCCCCTTAATCCCTGTTCATGTATATAAGTCTGTTCTGTGCTGTAGTACTTCACTCTTGCTTGACAACGGTATAAGAATCCATACCGAAACGTCGCATCATATATAATAAAGAAGTTGTTTTCAGTAAAACTTCTTACTGTCTTATTAGTCACCAACTTCTAAATGCCAATCAAACAGACATTTCAGAAGTCTGTAAGCGTGATGTCCAGGCTTTGGAACCTGTATAGACAGACTGGAGATGTCAACATAAGACGTGGTCGAAGACGGAAATCTAAAACTACCCCTCGGGATGACCGGACCCTACGCATTATTGCCTTACGAGACAAGGTTAAATCTTTCTAAAAATTCAATGCAGAATTCAGGCTAAGGACAAACGTTAGAATTTGTTCCTGTACTGTACGGAATCGCCTTAAATCAGCTGGTCTAAAGAGTCGTGGTTGGAATCAACATGACTGAGCAGCAAATGCGATTAAGACTGCAGTGGGCACTAAACCATGGTGGAAGAACCTTACGCCAATGGAGACACACCATGTTTAGCGATGAAAGCAGGTACACATTAGATCATAATGGCGGACGAATCCGGGTCTGGAGACGTGTTGGTGAACGTTTCAGTTGCAGCGAAATGAATTTTATCAACACTGTCTATGTTGCTATAATCACAGATGTTATGTTATACTGCTATTGAATTTGTACTGCCTCTTATTTCTACTTTCATCGCAATTAGTGTGTATCGACTATTAAACTTTTTACATTACGATTGTTTACTTACATGCTATTTTTTGTTGTTGTCTGGTGGTTTCACACGGTTTTGTTTTTAACTTTAATTTTCAACCTTTAAATCAGCACATAACAATGAATCACTATCCAACAGTGATTAAACCCACTATCCAACAGTGATTAAACCAGGACTGGTGTTCCCGAAAAGATGAGCGTATCCAGTGCCACCCTTCATAAACAAACGCCAAAGCTAATCAAGTGTTCAGCTGAATATACACAGGAATGCATGGTAAAGAAATGAAGCAGAACATAGCATTCCCCGGAAGAGCCTAACATGTCCACAGTGGTCAGCATCATAAGAAAGAAAAAAGAAACACCACCCTTACCTTGTCTCTGCAATGACGGATAACCCAGGTGTAGTTCAGACTCCCAAACAAATGCAAAGAGGCAAAACGCCGTGACAGGCATGCCCAATTACCGCAGAATAGTACACCAACAACATGGCAGCTTGCCAAATCACCGCAGAAGCGTGCCTAACTGAAAAAGGCCTTCGCTTTTTGTTGGTGTTTTCTTTCATATTTGATTTACAAGGCTTTTTTTTCACAATATACATAGTTTTGTGTCGATAGCATGAGTGAGCTTTTAGCAATATTCCAGCAATATTATGCGGGGGAACACCAGAAATGGGCTTCACACATTGTACCCATGTTGGAAATCGAACCTAGGTCTTCGACGTGACGAGCGAACGCTCTAACCACTAGACTATCCCTGTCGATAGCATGAAAAATACTTCAGTTCCATGTTTCCAGATATTGGCAGTTTGCGATAGCAACATACATGTAATACAGTTGGAATCAACAAGCTGGAATGTCCTCGAATGCGAGGTCACCGGCCGAACACTTGGTCGAGTGACGTCAGTAGCATTAAAACAATAAAACACACAAAAATAACAGTTCCGCGCCAAAGAGCTTACAACAATCTATTTCATTGTTGACAATGACCCTACAAGGTCAAACACTGATAAGGATAGCATACCTGATACAGACAAAGTCACAGAAATAGAGCGCTAGCAATTACATCGTATTTCAGAAAACAAGAGTGACAGTAATATTGACGACGATTCCGGCTGTTCTCTGCAAAACAGTGACAACACATACCGAACGATGTTTCGAATAGGAGTTATGCAAATGGTATGTAGATTATTCATGAAACCAGATTACATGTGGAAATAACGTTCCAACTGCCATCGCAACATTTGCTGTCATAAGTGCTGTTATGTTCCACCAATAAGCTGAGATCAATAATATATACCTTAGCATACATGTATAAAAACACATGCTCAAATCGTTTAACTATGTGTTATAATGAATACATAATTAAGAACGTTTAACTTCATATTACAAATGTTGTCACACTCATGTCGTTTTTTTCATTCAATATACAATTTACTGTTGGCCACATTGCTGATTGTTAAGGACGGTGGATCCGTAAACCAAGTTACGAAAGACGCGCCTAATGAATAGTGGTTCATGATAGGACATGTTTTATGATTTTGGAAATGGAGTTATGTGTGCAATATGGCTTAATACAGGTAATTAGTGGTTATTATTCATGCTTCAAAGCAAGAGTATATTCTATAATTCAGCAAAAAGATGACAGAGCATCAATGTAATGAAAGACATGCTTCTA